GAAATTACAGTACATGTGAGAGAGTGCTTAGAGGGTGGTCAGTTTTCTTTAAATTATTGAAATGAAACTCACACAGTGTACAGTCATCTGCATTCTGGTGTGTGCAGCTCTACCCTGAGAGTGTTTTTCCAGTGCAGCAAGGATAGCCATCCAACCTTCCCACAGGCCCTGGTGTCCACTTTCTTAGTTTTCTAGTGTGAGACACTTGCTTCTTTGTAAGGAGCCTGCGGTACATTGGGTACGCTTGCATGTATGTATCCTTGATGAGCCTGCGGTACATTGGGTACGCTTGCATGTATGTATCCTGACAGTGTGTCTGTAGAGTTAATGAACTGGAAGGTAAACTTCCCATTACGATGGAGTTCTCTCATCCTGGTAAGAGTTCTTTGGTGGTGGTTGTTTGATTCCCTTAACTCTTAGTCTACAGTTTGATAAACTTGGTGCAGCTGTTTTCTGTATTTGCAGGTAATTTGAGGATTTAATTGTAAAAGTTATTATAAGTAAATTTAAAGACTTTAAAAAGTTTTCTTAACTCAGCTAAGAAACTAAAAGTGCAGTGTTAAATACTTGAGTTAAATGGTTTGGTGATTTAAAAAATTTTTTTTGGCAGTATAATTTGAAGATAACTGAGATGGTCTCTTAATACTTTCTGAGTTATTTTTAAAAGCCAAAAGTTTTCCACAAATATTTCTTCACATTTGAGTGATTAGCACAGTAGGATTTTGATGAGCTTATTTAAGCTAAAGAATAGATAAAAAGAAAGACCATTTTATCTGGATACTTTGTTATTTTGGTATCATCATTTTATATATAAACAAATGTAAGTGTCCTTTTTTAGTTGTCATCCAGAGTCATTGTCTGTCTCTTGCCATGTGTGAACTTGCAGCCTGTGTCATTCAGACTGTGACACTTCTATCACCACACTGCCTTTGAGAACTTATCCTAGGTGTCTGCTAGTGAGAACATTGACTACTAGCTGGAAAAGGCTTTTAAACTTGAGCATAGATTCATTGGATCACTCACTGGTGATGGAAAAGAGTTAGAGTCTACGCCAAAAGCAACATTCCCTTTAGTATAGGTATAGATGAGTTCTTTATGCACTTCAGAAATTGTCAGCTTTTGTTTTGATTGTTTCTCTCAGTGTTTCCATTTTCATCCTCATGGTTAATCCAGGGGAGTGGACCCTCACGTAGTAAGCGCATAGTATCATTTTAAAGTGTTTGGAAGTCCTTCCTTTGCGTTATCTTTTAAAGAGATCAGTATGTTCATTTGTGTTTTATTATGACATCATCTTTATAAACTGTAAAACCGTTGTGCTGATGTTAAGAACATGAACTTAACCCTTTGTGTCAGATACTTTGGGTATAACTAAGTGTCGTGCTCATGTCGTACCTTCATGTTAGTGTTTTGATTTTTTTAAATTATCATGATTGTTTACAAGTTTCTTTCTCTCGTTCTGCTTGATTTCCCCTCGTCTGTTTTTCTCCAGGAAGTAGACCAGGTTGATCAGGTAGGACATACTGCTGGGAACTGATCCTAGCTGTGTTGGCTTAGCTGAGTTTCTCATGCTGCTTCCATTACAAATATGAGCCTACAAAAACTGGACTGAGCAGTTCATAACCCTCATTCAGCAACTGAAACATGCAACACTAAAATCCTTTTTGACTGCGCAACTTTTATCAGCATTTCATAATTTCTGCTTAATGCACTTCAGTGTGGATATGAAATGACAAAAGTTCTGTTTCTTCTCTATTATTTATCCTTGGTTCCTATTCTTTGGATCTCATCTAAGGTTGCCTGGCCTGCAAATGTGGTCGGGAGAGGACGTGATAGATCAGTACTTGATACTGAGTTGCATGGTGTCCAAGCCAGTGACTACAAGTATCAGGGTGGCTGTGGGTAACCATGGATACCTGTGTGTATGCTACACAGATTACCAGATAATGCATAATCTACTATTTGGTTTGATAATACACAGTATCTCCATTCTCTACTGACTCTCCAAATTCCATCTAATTAGACCAGTATGTCTGTGTATATGAATCCTCAGACACTGCATTGGTTATTTGCTTCTCATTGCTCTGCATGTACCTAAATTTCTTTGCAAGTATCTGGTATCTGTGGTAACTACCTGGTGGAGATGGGAAGGTACTGGTCTATCTTCAGCTTCTCAGGAGCATTCCTGTTTATCTGTAATTTTTCTACTGTCTTGCATTGTTTATGAAAATGTTTTCTGTCCACAGAAACAGAAGAATATTGCAGGAGCGCTTGCCTTCTGGATGGCAAATGCATCTGAACTTCTCAACTTCATCAAGCAGGACCGAGACCTTAGTCGGATTACGCTGGATGCCCAGGATGTTCTAGCACACTTGGTTCAGATGGCATTTAAGTAAGAAGCACATTCTGGAAAGAGTAAATTTATATGCTTCATGTTCTGTTTTCAAAGCCAATGTTAAAGACTTTACTTGCCCTAATTGAAGACGCTTGATTGCCAAGAAGCACAGGAGACTGTGTTGACTTGAGAGCAGTGTGCTCTGGAACAACTGCAGTGTTGTGAGTGTTCCAGAATGTGATTTTTGTTATTTTTAATGGAAAGTATTCTTAAAGAATGCAGATTGTCTGAAATGGTAAAAGATCTAACACTGTCTATGCAACCTGCTCAGGTGATTAAAATTGTTTATGTATTTTCAGGTACTTGGTTCATTGCCTTCAGTCAGAACTTAATAACTACATGCCAGCCTTTCTGGATGATCCTGAGGAGAACAGTCTGCAAAGACCAAAAATAGGTTAGGGTCTTGTGTGCCTCCCCTAACATTTAACTTGGATTTATTCTTAAGTCTTTATTTTAAATGTATGTATGTTCTGACTGCATTTATGTCTGTATACCATATATAAGCCACAGAGGCCAGAAAAAGGTGTCAGATCCTATGGGACTGGAATTAAAGACTGTTGTGAGCCACCATGTGGTTGCTGGGATTCGAACTCAGGACCTCTGAAAGAGCAGCCAGTGTTCTTAATCACTGAGCCATCTCTCCAGTTCCTAGTTTTATTAATCTTTTGGTGCCACTGACCTCTGTCTGGGTTATAGGCCCAGCAAGCTTTTGCTTCACCACTCTCCTAAGGGCCTATATTTTAATTTTTTTTACATATATGAGTTTTGACTACTTGTACATGTATGTCTAGGATCAAACAGAGGCCAGGAAAGGTCATGGAATTTCCTCGAACTAGAATTATATTTATACATAGATGGCTCTTATGGCATGGAGGGTGCTAGGAACTGAACCTGGGTCTGCAAGTGCAGCCCTTTCCAAGACAGTTCTCCAGCCCTAAGTTTATCTTATTGTTCAGTATTTTGTAAGGAATATCTTTTTTTTTAAAGATTTATTTTTATTTGTGTTAATGTGTTTGTGTGAGTATATGCTGTGGGTGCCCAATGAGGCCAGAAGAGGGCATCAGAGTCCATAGAGTTAGAGTATAAGCAGCTGGGAAACACACTTGAGTCCTGTGGAAGAACAGTGCTGCGGTGCTGCAGCAGGTGCTCTTAGCTATGAAACTGTCCTTCCTGCCTCAGAGTTGTTTCTTAAATGAGTGAGTGCCTTATTGTATCTTTGAGATGACTCCCAAGGAGCTGTCTGTCAGACTTATGAGTAATTTTCACTTTTGCTCTGCTATGTTGGTAAATTGATCTGAATAGTTGTTTTGTTCCATGTCCTGCACAGATGATGTGCTGCACACTCTCACAGGAGCCATGTCCTTGTTGCGGCGCTGCAGAGTCAATGCTGCCCTGACCATCCAGCTGTTCTCCCAGCTGTTCCACTTCATCAATATGTGGCTGTTCAACAGACTGGTGACTGACCCAGATTCAGGCCTGTGTTCCCACTACTGGGGTGCAATTATCCGCCAGCAGCTGGGGCATATTGAAGCTTGGGCAGAGAAGCAGGGGCTAGAGCTGGCTGCTGACTGTCACTTGAGCAGGATCGTGCAGGTGTGGACAATGGGTGTGCTCCATCCTTCTTGCTTTCCCCCTTCCTTGCCAGTACATTTTGTGGTAAATTTTAGATTCATATGATGAGTGAGAACTTAGAGTGATAGAGCCTCACTTTTTTTCATATGCATACAATTGAGCAATGCTGTGGTAGATAGCTTCTGGGCTGCTGTAACAAGCTAGCTAAAACTAAATGTCTCAGCAGAGGTTTATTGTCTCCTTCTTCTGGGATCCAGAGGTTGAAATCAAGGTGCTGGCCTCTGAGGGACTTGAATATAAATTGGTTCTTCCAGCCCCTGGTGGTTTACACCCAACTTAGGTATTCTTTGGCCAGTCTTTGCCACAGACGTCATGTGACATTCTTGGGTAAATGTCTATCCAAGTGCCTGGTTTGTACAGGGGCATCAGTAAAACTGGCCTCCTTTTAACAGTTGTATGCACAAGACCCCTCTGTAGTTCTCCGGCCTCCAGCATCAGAATCTCAAGGGCATGGTTCATTCTATAACAAGGTGTGTAAGCAGTAGGACAGAAATGTCACTGACATGCTCTGTTTTATGAGACCACCAAAATAGGTTTTCCTGAAGGATAAGTGATGATTTTAAAATGGGCAGTAGTTAACTCTTTAGATGCTAAGTCATAGCCTACTATTTTAACAGCTCTCAGGGAAAGCTTTAGATACCAAAGTCTAGGAACCGGTGTTTATAATTAATTACATGAATTATATGCAGCCTCAAAATTTATAGCAATTTAAGATATTTATTCTAAATGTACTTATTAACTTTTGTTTTTATGCTTTTATCTCCTCTAAAGATATTTAGTAACCCAAGAAGCTGGCTAGCTCTCAACTTCTATCAGAATTCATATTAGCAAAACTATGAGATTCCTATAAATAATCATCTGGATTGCTGTATAAATATTCAAACTTTAAAAGAGACTGTTTAAAAGACTGTATAAACATTGGTAATTGAGTCAAATTATATTAAAAACGCAAAAACTAAAGTAAAACCCAACAGTCTGTTTAAAAGCTACAAAAGTATGTTTGTAGTTTACTATGTGTAGCTAAATGTTAATGCCTCTTTAAAATCATCTTGCATTTCAAAACCAAATTAGCAAGTTACTGGCTTTACAGTGGTTACAAATGGATTTTTTTGTTTTGTGGTGCTGGAGATTTGAACCTAGGGCTTCACACATGATACTGAATTGTGAGGTCTTTTATAAGCTACACTCTCAGCTTTTCAAAGAATGTCTTTCAAAGAAAAAAAATCTTACTGCATGATATTTGTTCTTTTAAATAGGCTACTACATTGCTTACGATGGATAAATATGTACCTGATGATATTCCAAATATAAACAGCACATGCTTTAAGTTAAATTCTCTGCAGCTTCAAGCCTTGTTACAAAACTACCACTGTGCACCTGATGAGCCTTTTATTCCTACGGTATGTGAGTGTTTATTGTACCACAAAGTGTGGGCGTGTCTGCACAGGAGAATCAGGATGAGAGTGGGAAGAAAAGGAAAGCAAGCTCACTAGTGTGTCAGTGAGTTAACTTACGTGAAACTGTCTCATGAGGTCGTTTTACTTTGAAGCTTTAGCTGTTCAGTGCAAAGACTGGAGACTAGAGACAGATTTTGAGAAATGACTTGATTCAGGGCATTGCTCTTGGCAAGTCTTTGAAAGGACTAGAGGGGGTTGAGTTGAAGTTCGAGTAACAGAGACCAGAGCTGCTACTGAAGCTACAAGGATACTTTTTATATGCCACATGTGCTCTCCTGCCATCAGGAGCAGCATGAACCTTCACTAGAGAGCAGCCTTCTTGACTTCAGACATCAGTGTCTGATTGGTAACAACCAAAGTATCATCCAAAGAAAGTCTGGAACTGTGGAATTCTGATCTCCCTCTGTAATAAGGACTTGAGTGTGAGAAACCCGGGGTATGTGTGTGATACACACACACACACACACACACACACACAGGCAGAGACAGAGAGAACTGTGCTGCAGATGATACCGTTTTAAGTCAGTACCTGAAAGGTAGTTTGAAAGAGGCAAGATTTGGACTCAAGGTTTCTGAGTTTCAGTCCACGATGAGCTGGTTGCATGATTGTGGGTTGTAGTAAGGCAGAGAGCATCATTGCAGAAGAGGATGCTGTGAGGAGAGCTGCTTCCTTCTTGTAGCCAGGGAGCAGAGATTGCAGTAGTATGTCCCCTGGTCATGACATAGTGTTGCCATCTTAAAGTTAGAGCAACTGACAACTCATCCTAGGACTTGAGGACACAGGTTGAGCTCACTCATTCTGCAGTGGGATCGGGGAGGACTCAAAGGACTTCTTTTCCTGAAGAATGTATAAGCAGATAGCATGGGCCGGGGAAGCTCTCCTTTGCTGGGAGAGCTGCCTGTAAGTTCCCGTGTTCCTCGAAGTAATCCCTTTTAATTGTATCTCTATACAGAGGTAGTATATATGGACTCCTGGGGGTGGGGGTGGGGAATCATTCAAAGATAGGAAGAGGCCATGGCAAGATAAAAATCTTTAGAGATATACCCCCTCCATGACCTTTTTCTAACTAGACCCAATTTTCTCTAGTTCCACCACTTCGCAATAACCTATTCAAAGTTTGAATTCCCCAACTATTAATCCATTGATGAAGACAAGACCCCTTTGGATCTAATCATTGTTTCAAAGCCTCACTTATTAAGCATAGGATAGCAAGCGCTTCTGTCAGTTCCACACCATAGCACCATAACATCTACCAGCTGTGTTGAGAAGATTATGCTAGTTGGTGGACAAATGAGGCTCATACTGAGTTTCAATAAAAGGCGGGTACAGAATAGCCAAACACTGGAAATCACCCCATCAGCAGTACATTGCACCAGATAGTCCTGTTACAGTGATGAGAAGGAATTGTGGTTGCCATGACAACGTGATTGAGTGTTCTGATGTACTTCTTGCAGAAGAAACCATATGCAGAGTATATACAGTGGCGTCTAGTGGCCAACTTCAAAGGTAGACAAAACTCCTTGTGACATTATAAATAAACCGAGGCTTTTGTTCCCCATGTGAGAAAGAAAAAGAGTGGTAGAGCCCAGGGCTGCCTCCATGGGGCTGCTCTGCTTCCCAGATAGAAGTCATGGGGAAGTGTGCTGGGATCTTTATGTTAATGAGCCTCCGAATGAAGAACTTTGCATGTTTGCTTTCTTTCTTGCCAGCCCCCACTCAGCCACTTCCATATGTGTATGTGTGTGTTAGTGACGTATCTTGTAATGTAAATCATCCACAGACCCCCAGTTTAGCAGTTCTTCTACTGATCGACTTCCAAGCTAGGTATTTTACCTGTTTTTGTTTTTTGTTATTTTCTCATATTCATTTTATGAGTTTTTTCTGTGGTATTGTATGTTCTATAAAAATAATTATTTACAATTTAATAACAATATGTTAAAGAATTGTACAAATCAGCTGCTTTGGATAAAAGAATATCAGGTATTAAAACACCGTCTTAAAGCCTTCTGTTCTGTCTTTAAGTGGTGTGTGTCTGGTGTGCAGGCACTTTGTGAAGCCAGCTCTGCGTATCCTACTGCTCCCCTGAGGTCACATCTCTGAGATTCCCATCGGTGAGCATCTCTTGACGAGGCCACATTTGTTCTCTGCAGGATCTCATAGAAAATGTTGTGGCTGTTGCTGAGAATACAGCTGATGAGCTTGCACGCAGTGATGGCAGAGACGTGCAGTTGGAGGAGGACCCTGACCTACAACTGCCTTTTCTTCTGCCAGAAGATGGCTATTCCTGTGATGTTGTCAGAAACATTCCAAATGGTTTACAAGAATTTTTAGACCCTCTGTGCCAGAGAGGTAAATACTACTTATCACACTTGAGCTGGAGCTCCAGCTTGGTCCAGGTGTGCTTTGCACTGGCTCTCTGAATAATAGGCATGTGGACTGGGGCCAGGTCTCCTGAGGAAGCTGTGTTCCTATGACTCAAGAAGAGTTTCACTGAGATGAAAGATCTTGCATGTTCAGGCATGACCCCATGTGGGTGTGTTGTCTCCCTTGAATGAGCACCTGCTCTCTCCCACATGGTGCCATAACAAAGCATCTTTGACCACATCTTTCTCCTGCTGTGGAAAGCAGCACAGGATTCCTGGGCTCTGAGGGGTCCAGCCCACTGCCAGCCAACTGGACTGCCATAGGCAGGTCACCCCTTGCCTTAGTTCCTTCCTTATAAATCAGTCCAAGAGGTCAGAGAATTGGACAGGTTGCCTTTAGGGGGAGGGCTCTGTAGATTCTGAGGCCACCACATCATACAGACTTGTGTCTCTAGCTTTTCCCTGACTGCTTCTATGACCTTTGATAGACTGTTTTGCTGGTATATATCAATTTTTAAAAAACACCACTGCTTTTCTTTAAAGGATAGCTTTTGAAACAAACCAAATTTTAATTGTACTCTGCTGCATTTTTTTTATGATGTGGAGATTAACATATGAGTAGGAAAATAGACCCAAAGTACAGGAGCTCGATTAAATAACAAATAGTAAGAGCAGTAGAGGTGCTGTGGTCATAGACAAATACAGTGAATGTGGATTGTTTTACTTTACTGACTATTCACTCACTACAATAAATATGTTTTATATCTTCAAAAGTATAGTGAAAAAAAAGATGATTCCATTGAAGAGCTGTCTCTTTTCATGAATTATGTTACTGGCAAAGCAGTTTGTACTGTCTTCCTAGCAGGTCTACTGCCTACAGTTTTCAGACACAAAGTCCAAGGTCAGGGAAGCAGAGGTGAGGTTATTTAAGAAAAATGTGAAGTTTGAAGGAATGTGAATAGGTTTAGACCTGAAGGGCCCTCGTTCATGGTACAGGTAAACCTGTGGCCAGATGGCAAGGGTATAGCCAAGCTTAGTCTCGAACGGTCTAGGTACGCCTCTCTAGTGGAAGAACTCAAGCCCATGGAAGGTCCCTGGTCACAGCATGGGGAACACAGTAAAGCTATTTGACTGCTTGCTATGGAGTTGCTTAAAGGTGTCTTTTCATGTGCATGTTTCAGGAGATCAGGTTGAAACCATGGCCTTCAAGCTAGGCACAATCCCCCTATTGTATCCTCACCCTGGTTTGGCTGGGCTTCCTCACTCCTGCCTGTACTCACTGAGGCATGTTTGATGCTGAGCGCTCAGAAAGGCTTTAATTAATATCTTACAAATAAGTAAGCCAGGAGACTGTAGTCTGTTAGGACTTTGGAAGTGGACATAATTTGTAGTATGCCAGTTTTGTCATGTGTGCCATAGGTATTGCCAGCATGGAAACAGTGAGTGCTTCCCCTGATGAAGTGCTTCCTTCATACTTTGCCCTAGGCTCTCTTGGATAAGTAGTCTTAGGCCATGTGATACTTGATTCTGGTCTTGGCATCCATACATTGTTTCGTACATGTTGGATGTTTATATTTCATGCAGCCTAGCACACAGATGCCTTTAAAGGTATAAAGTAGGCTGAGTGTTATGACATCAGTATTTGTTAATGCTTCACACTCTTTCTTTGTAAGCTGATTAAAGGACTACTGTGTATTGTCAATCCCCCTCCACCCCCAGTACAAAGCAGTTCTGTGAAAGACTATAAAACCAGCCCAGACTAATGCCTGAGTTGTGATGAGTACCTCAAGCTATGACAAGTCGTTCCCATCAGCAGTATAGCGCAGAGCTTGTCATGGAAATCTGACATTTGAAAGCATAAAACATTGTTTACAATTGTTGAAATTCAAAATTTTAATAGAATTAGAATTCTTTAAAACATGAAGAAAGCAAATTCTGATTACATACCAATGAAACTGCATTGAAACATTTTTTTAAAGTGAAACTACATGTTTTTTGCTTTAACTGATGTTCTTTATTCCTCTCCCACAAATATATGTCTGATAACAGCAATCCACATTATACTACATTGATAAAGCGCTAGACCAGGGAAACCTCCCTAGGGTGGCTGCTCAGACATCAGTCATGTCCACAGGAGTGTGATCTTGAGCCACACTGGCTATTCAGGACAAGGCAGCAGCAGCCCTGCAGCATAATCACAATCCTGGAAAAGCTTGTATAATATGGGTTTGTCAAAAAAGAACCCTGAGGAATATAAAATAAACCTTGACTAAGTGAAGGTGACATGGCTTTGAATATGAGTCCTAGTTCTTTAAGTATGTCCTTAGTAAGGCGTCATAAATACTTTGGTGGGACTATGGGGGTCCAGCTAAGGGTCTTGCACATTCTAGATAAAATGCTCTACACTTAGCTATAGCAGAAAACTAAGGCAGGAGGATCATGAGTTTGCAGCCAGTCTAGGCTACAAAGTAAGTTCAAAACCTGTCTCAGAAAACAACAAAGTAGAACTCTTCTTGAAGAATTATTTGTTAATAATTTAAACACATATGAACTTAGAAAAAATTGGACAGAATGTTGTGAGAATGGACCCTCCCAACCCCAGCATGTACATTTTAAATGGTCTGTAATGTGAGAATTTAAACCCATGGCCTGATGAGTCATTTAATACAGCATGGTGTAGTAGACACATAGATAACCTGTGTCTGTGCCGTTCTCTGGTTCTCTGTGCCTGTCTTTTGCTGAACAAATATGTATGTGGTTACTATTAATGGTTTTCCTTTAGGATGGAATGTATAGTTCTGTAAGAATGTAGTTATAGAACAACTCACTAATTTTCATAGTAAAAGAAAAGTAGTTCTTTGGTGTGCACAGAAGAGGAAACCCAACAATTTTTTGTTATTGTTGCTTAAATCCTGATGGATCAAAACAGGTACATGGTTTTAAACAGTTTTTGGAGAGAATAAAGGCATAGAATGTGAAAGACAAGAATGTTCACTAAGGTATTAAACCTTCAAATGAAGTGGTGTCATATCCCTGTAAATTCCAGCAGTTCAGAAACTGAGGCAGAAAGTATAGTTCTGACAGTCCTCAGATACATGAGACCTTGTCACAAAATACCCACCCCGGTTCCAAATATAAACCAATATACTGTCTTGTTTTCCTTGTTGAAAATTGTGTGGGATTAGGTGTGTGGGATTAGGCACGCCTTACGCATTTTCTAATCACTGTCTTCTTCTTAGGATTTTGTAGGTTGGTTCCTCACACGCGGTCACCAGGCACCTGGACGATATATTTTGAAGGAGCAGATTATGAAAGTCACCTAATGCGTGAGAGCACAGAGCTGGCAAGTGTTTGAGGTTTGGCTGGAGGAGGGCATCAGATGTCTCTCTAATGAGTTGCAGATGCGGTGTAATTAATCCTCTGCTGACTCTGGATGTTACGATGGACATTTTAAATGATTTTCTTATCATTTAAAATGATTCTAGATTGATTCAAACATTTTAAAACCTTGATTTGTGAAAATATATGTTTGCTCCATGAGTCAGGTCCATGCAGTTGTGTTGTAATGGTTTTTTTTTTTTAAGAAGTAAAGAGTATTTTTTACTCACAGTTATGGCAGTCTGTACTGTATATATTTGAAACATATATTAACGTTGAAAGATGTTATTAGAAAACTGTTTTTCAGTTGCAGAAATAATTTATTCTTTTTTGCTCATTTCTGCCTTATCTTAAATGTATGTCATAACTCACTATTTTGAGATAGTAAAGAGTTTCATCCATCTTAAGAAAAAATTATTCTTTGCTTCAATACATATTTTCAAAATGGATACTTTTTTATATATTAAATTCAGAGTAGTAATTGTGGCTTCATGCATACTTTAGATTTGAGCTGTCTCCTAAAATTGAATTGGTAGTTGTCATTATACCAAATATATGGCTCGCGACTAACAGTGACCATTCCTTTTTCTTGACTTCCTATGTTTATTTTTGGTCAAATTCAAAGTAACAACAGCAGCTGACGACCAGATCTTAACAGGAGGACAAGTGCTTCTCGGCCTCATTGGTTTCTCATCTTTCCCACTGACTCTCAGAGTCCTCTGAGATCGATTTCAAGTGTTGGTTTAAATGAACCAGCAGTCTCGCTGTCATGTGACTGTTTTCTCCTGGTCCTTCATGGGCTGTACCTTTACTTGCCTTTGTTTAAACACCACCTTCTTTAAATTGTATCTTAGGAGTTAAATTTTCATCAGCACGTACTCAGTGTTCATTTTGCTTTTTAACTGTGTTCACATTTTGGTTTGAAGTCTGGCATGAGTGTAACATGTGACTTAAATAATGTTTTTCTTTAAAAAAATCCACCACCACCACCAAGCTTCCTTTGACTGTGTCTAAGCTTTGGCTCCTCTGTGGCTACACTGCTCTCAGTCTCTGTACTGAGTGCCCACCTCAGGGTGCATTTCTTGGCAGAGTGCTGAGGATACTTGTGATGCATCCTATAGTTTCTTTATGGTCATCATTTTAAATAAAATGACTCTCAATTTCCCAAAAGACAAAGATATTAGTTCATCTCTGTTACAGCCATTTTCTGCTATCTTCCCAGACAGTGTGAAATAATTCTAAACTTTTTTCAGAACAAAACAAAAGCTTATCTGTTTATTTTAAAAGATCGTAAAGGTAAAACTTGGATTTGTTTTTATAGTTGTATTTTCATATATTAAATTCTTAACATTTAAATACCATTTGTAACGAAGACTTAACCTTCTAGACTATAGCCAAACGATTCAGTATTTTATTTACCAAATGAAAAGTACCTGAGGGGCTGGAGAGATGGCTAAGTGGTTAAGAGCACTGACTGCTCTTCCAGAAGTCCTGAGTTCAATTCCCAGCAATTGATATGATGGTTCACAAGCGTGTGTAATGGGATCCAATGCCCTCTTCTGGTGTGTCTGAAGACAGCTACAGTGTACTCATATACATTATAAATAAATCTTTTTAAAAAGACAAGTACCTAAGATAGTGGACCCTTCCCCATTCTCTGTTATAAAAAATAGCTACCTTTCTAACCATGTGAGAGCAGTTTGCATTAGTCATAAAGTAAGCCTCTTTTCTCATCTTAGGCCCAGCCTCTGAGGAAGGAGCCTGAGATAATCACTGTGACGCTGAAGAAGCAGAATGGAATGGGTCTCAGCATCGTTGCAGCAAAGGTGGGACTGAGGGAGCCCAGGAGCATCTTTTCCCATCTGTGACCACTGAGGGATGATCTCTTTGTGTGAGAGCGTGGCTAGTGTAAATAGTAGCTTGAGATGGAGTAGGTGGTCTCAGAGGAAGTAGTGTAAAGGCATGGTCAAGACTTGGTAGTCACAGGGAAAAGCCAACATGGGAACAAGAGAAACAATTGCACCTGTCTCTTTATTTATTTTATTTATTTTTTTTAGAGTTTTTATTGGCATACATGAATTATATATAATAGTAGATATCATTGTGACATTTCTTTACATATACGTGATGTATTTTGATCAGTCACCCCATTACCCTTTCTTGGCCCCCTTCTTCTTCCACCAATCTTTTCACCTTTCCAATTAGTCTCCCCTTTCCTTTTTCTAAAGTTTTAAAAAAAATTTTTTAATGATTTATTTATTTTTTTCAAATTGTAATTTATACTCATTCACACAGGGGTTGTAAACACAGAAAGGCAGGATGTGGGAAAGGGGATGACACTGGAGTGTGGGTGTTCAGGGGGAATACAGATATCTTTCAGAACAGGGTATCGGCTGGGTGGAGGTTCAGGGGACAGGTCTCTATGACTCCGCCTATGATTCACTTGTCCTTATCTAAGTTCGTATTGTCTGCCAAGTTTACAAGGTCTATGACTATATTTATGACTATATTTACAAGGTCCATGACTACTCAGGCTGGTAAATTTCCACAAAAGCTGCCTGTTTACAATAGCTTATAGCCATCTGTTTTAATGTTTTTCCACAGAGACCAAAGACTTGGTGTTAGTATACGTGTATGACAGGCCCACTACTGATTTTAGGCCTATGGCTGATTTTAGGCCTTCAGTGTATAAGCAGGGCTGCCCCTGACATCTCCTCCCTTCTCTAAGTATAAAAGGGCTGTCGCGATTTTAATTTTGCGAAGGCGGGGATAGAGGCCTGACCTCCAGTAATTGAAGGGAACTTGGTAATGGCTCTGGTCCCCCTGTCATAGTCCAGTGAGGCATGAGGGCCATACCCATCCTGATGTCTTTTTCCTGGAGAGGAGATACTTTTGGCATCAACCCCTATGCAGTCAGGCTTGTCCCTCAGGGAACCCAGAGAGATATTTTTAATTTTTATTTATATTCCCTTGCAGTGCTTAGCCTCGCAGCCTAAGCAAGGATTCAGATCACCAATCAGAGGGTGTTCTGGGTGGCCCCTCTGCTTGGTCTAGGGGTGGAAGTCCTCTCTTTTAGGTTGGGTGGAGATGGGTTTTTGGAACACCCTGGATAGATAACAACCTCATCTTGAGTCTCGTGGTCCTCCATAGCTAACTTATGATAATGTATCTGAATAGGTTTTGCTACCAGATTATTTATCTGTTGCTTCACAAAGTTAGTCAGCCTATTTAAGGCCCAGGGACCAGAAGAAATAAGCAAAAATAACCCAATTAATGGTCCCAAGATGGGAGGAAGTAGAGTTGACAACTATGGAGAGGCTGAAAACCAATTCTTGTACCAGCACTCATCTTTCTCTTTCTCTCTCTGACTTTTCTCAGGGCCTTCTCTGACCTTTTTCATGCTCTCTTTAACCATCCCTGTCTTGTCTATGTAAAGGCAACATTCTTTTTTAAGGGCTGTACACAGTCAAGAGCTGTACATAGCCTTTTCTATTGTAATAGAGTAAATCAAGTCCAATAAGGATCTTTGCGATTTTTGGAGGTCTCTTCAGATAGCGAGACGAATAGTCGGTAACAGCTCTTTTCAGCTCTGTGCGTGACAGTCATGGGGACCTAATAACAACCCTTCTAATCTCAAGGCATTTTCTGCTGGAGGATGGATTGGAGTATAAGTACAGCTGTGTATCCATTGCAGGCATTGACAGCTCCCTCATCTCCCCTGTTCTCTTGGTGTATAAGTCCCTTCACCTATTAATCTGCTAAAGGAAGATTTTCTTTCTTTCAGTTAAAAGAAATTAGTAGTATGACTAAAAGTTATTTTTAAAAAAGCTTCCCCAATCATAGTCACATACTTTCAGTGGAACAAATGTGTTAGTGTGTGGTTCTCATTCATTCCCCTCTGCATCACTAGTTCCTTGGGTTTTCTCCTACTCTGACTGGTTCTCTTCTTCAAAAGCCTCCACTCTACTTCCATGTCACGTATGTTAATACCTTCTCTTTTCCAAATATGAGTTTTAGCTAATATTCAATAAAATACTTTGTTGAGCTGTAGTAATATTTTGCCTAAAAAAAATACTTTGTCAGCTGAAGTTGTTACCTTTGTCTTATTTTAAGAGAATATTTGAAAAGCTTGCAAACAGCATATGGTATTATGAAGAAAAGAGCATCCCAAGTGTCATGGTGCAGTGTATTCTGAGAAATGTTTAAGTTGGTGCTTGTCATTTCTATACGTCAGAATACTGTTTTGATGAGTATTGATTGGAGGTTGATATTAGAAGCCTCATCTTGGGTTGTTTTAAAGGCTGCATTAAGTTCCCTACTCTTGCCCACTGATTGACATATGGTACACATGGCATGAGGTATAGGGCCAGATTGTGAGGACAGTATTTGCTCCATTCAGAAGCATGAGCAGCTTACCAAAGTCATGGCTCTTGATTGGGAGTGCATCGTAAGCACGTTTGTCATTCCTGCTTCTTGGATCTTTGTCCTTCTTGCTTATTTTCAAAAAGGGACGTGTTGGTACATGCTTGTAATCCCAAGTGTTAGCAGGCAGGATCACGAAGATGGAGAATAGACTAGACTAGCCGGGATATATAGCACAATATTGTCTCAAAAATCCTAAAACACATAGCAAAAAACCCTTCCAGCATTTTACTAGCAGCTTTCCTGTCCTGAGCTTGTCCTTGAGCCAAGGCAGATCCTTGTGTGATTTATAGTCCTCCACAGCACTGGAGTCTGCGTGTAAGGAGTCGGCTTGCATTGTCACTGATAAACAACCAACGTTTTTCTCTCTAGTGGTGTTCCCTAACTCAGCTGCCAGAATGTGGTAGACAAAATTACTTGTTAGCAAAAATGAGAACTTTTTTTTTTAACTTTTAAAGTATTCATGTCTTGGTTTTCTTTCTGCTGCTGTGGTAAAGGACTATGAGCAGTGCCAGCTTGCAATCTGCCATCAGGGTCAGGAACCTGAACACAGGGACTGAACCAGACACTGTGGAGAAATGCTGGTTATTGACTTCTTTTCAATGCTTGCTCATACTGTTTTCTTACACCACTCAGCACCACCTGCCTGGGGTGGTAATACCCACAATGGGCTGGGCCCTTCTCCAGTAATCAAGAAAATCCTCCACAGACATACGCACAGGCCAGACTCATAGAGACAGTTCCTAAGTTGAAGTTCGCTCTTCCCAAGTGACTTTAGATTGTGTCAAGTTGATAAAGACCACTAACACAATAAGCCACACATTCATTTCATTCACTTAATCAATATACTAAATTGCCAGCTGCATTAGAATAGTGTTAGCTGAGTTTACTGTGAAGAAACTTGTTGCCCATAGTGTTCAACATACCAGGATTCAATGTGGATACTGTGAAACTGTATTCAAGCTTTTTAAAAGTTAAGAAATAAGTAGATTAATGAGCGAGAAAGTAGTCATCCAAGCATTGTGGAATATTAGCTGATCTTTTGGAAAGATGGCCCAGCAGAGGTATGTTAGAGGTAGGCGTAAAGATATGGAAGGGGGAACAGACCAGTAATGTGTACCATGTTTGAGCAGCTAGCGTTTCCAAGGAGAGCAGAGAAGGAGGTGAGAGCTGTTCTATGTAGGGTTAGAGTTGTGGGCTGACACGGGGTGGGGGGAGTCTTGTTGTCAGAACAAAAAAATGGGCTTGGAGGAAATACACAGTGATGTCCAAGACATGGTGGCATGTCGAGCAGAAGGCTAGGGGCTTTGGACAAGTCTGTTCAGGACTAGTCTGAATGAACCTGCGGTTGGGAAAGTTGCTAGTCTTTCAGGCTCAAGTCTGTGGAATCACCTGTGATGGACAGAGCAAAGATCCTGAGCCTCTGATCCCACTTTATAGTTCAAAACTCCTGCTCACCTCATGTGGCCCAGATCACACAATATACTCCTAGACTGTTCTCATATGCTTGACCCAAGCTCAGAACATTTGGAAACATGAAAGGAACAAGTCAGCCACAGGAAGTAGAAGTTCAAGGGCGGTCTGCCACACTCAAATGGTCAGGGAAGATCCAACTCCTAATGTGGGGTATGCTCAGGGTGAAATATCCACTCAGCACTTGGGAAGATCTGTGCTGTTGCTTGTGTACTGCAAAGGAAAACAAAGCAGAGAAGCCTTGGGTTCTGTATTTCCTGTTGTAGACATGATCCTTTCACCTGATACTGGTCTGCTAGAGAGTGACTATTATTTCCAGTTGAAAAAGTCTACAGTGCAGTATGATTGGCTTTTTCTGGACTCTAGTCTGAGTTAGGTTTGATCTCCTGGAGTGGTGTCTTGATGCAAAGGACCTTGCCTCAGGCTCCATCTTGCATCCTCGTCCACTCTTGGATCCTCTGCCAGATAGCATATGGAGAAGTAGTAGGGCATCAAGCCAGGCTCACAGTCATAGTCTAGCCTGTGTTCCCTTAAACTCGATTTACAAGAACAGGCTTATTAGTTCAGCCTTGAGATTCAACCTTGTGAAGGTGCATCTTGTCAAAACTGTACTTTTTATTATAAGTGAGAGAGGACTTTGACTTAAGGTATAGTATGATAACTGGTATGCTGTGTGGGGTGGGGATTGTAGGCTTTGATGATAAACCTTCATTGTCACCATGACTGGATTTGTATTCACCAGGAGACCCCAGACCCCTTTGTGTTATCTGAAATTTAGGAATTGGTATATGGGCACTCTGAATGAAATAGCTAAACATGCTTTGTCAACTGAACAATGTGCCATTTTTAATATCTGAATAATAGTATCCTAACATTTATTTTCTGAATGACACAGATGAATAGTGGCTCACAGTGGCTGTTCCACACTGTA